TATATATATACACACATATATATAATATATATATATATATATATATATATAGATATATATATATTACACATGTATATTACACACATCAGAACTACCTTTATACGACATGAAGTGGGCGTAAGGTATGTTGAGGGTAGCCAATTGTAGCTCGCGGCCCATAGTATCGCCGCACACTACCAGCACAGTGTTGCCCTTGTGGTGTCCTCTCTGAAGGTGTGAGTGTAAAATAAGTGTGAAAACACCACCAGTATAAATTGAGATATAAAACACCTCCCGAGTTGAATTGAAAACCCGATTTGGTAGTGGTAAAACATATATGAGAATAAGAGTATAAATCGAGAAAAAAGAGTTCCCGACGAGTACAAAATGGAACGGGAAACTGGAAAAGGCACTACTAGTTATAGTATGTTACTATGACAAGTGATAAATCCTTGGATGCGCAGCCAATCGAAAGAGTGTGGGACAAAGCACCGACACGACTTTAGAATACAATGGAGATATGAACACCCTTACCACCTTATCTGGTGGGAGACAGGGCTGGTGCGGTGTGCCGTATTCTTGACTTCGGTATGAGATGCTTCAATAGTTGTACTATTTATAGAACACTTTCTCACATCTTTCTGGCCCGAATACGATATACAGACAACACTCTAACCTAGTCCCCTACACACCTCGGTCGTACAACTTTTTATACGACACATATAGCCTCTTCCTGACCAATACCCAATACATACAAACAAAACTCAAACCCTCCATCCCACCTGTTCCAGCTTATGGGCGATAGGGTTGGTGCGGTGTGTCGCATTCTTAACTTCGTTCACAATGGTGAGGTGACCTTGCAAATACTTGATTGTCAGTGCGGCTCTTAGTCCCGCCGCCCTGATCTTCTTAGGAAGAGCGAAGTCGTACTTGCGCATGTTTGTTGGGCCATGTACAACACCACCTGAAGTACGCGGTTTCAAGTAAACGGGATTGAGTTTAGCACGAGAAAGAGAGAGAATAACAGAGCGCGTGTGCATGGAATAGGAGTGTACGCCAACACGAAGTGGTGGTGGTAAGTAGGCCAACACGAAGTGGCAGTGGTAGGTAGGTAAACACGAAGTGGCGGTGATGGGTAGGCCAACAAGAAGTGGCAGTAGTAGGTAAGCCAACACGAAGTGGCAGTGGTAGGTAGGTAAACATGAAGTGGCAGTGGTAGGTAGGCCAACATGAAGTGGCAGTGGTAGGTAGGCCAACATGAAGTGGCAGTGGTAGGTAGGTAAACATGAAGTGGCAGTGGTAGGTAGGTCAACACGAAGTGGCAGTGGTAGGTAGGCCTGGTAGGTACTCAGTCGGCCCTCACATCGACGGAAGGAAGTGAGATGGGTTCACATAGTCAGAGCCCCGTCCATTAACATAAATATACTTATCAAGAAGTATAACAAGCGTGCATAGAGATACCAACACACATACTCATATGTGTATTATCTCCAATGTACAGCATGTGTTATAAAAACACTATCTCCTCACAGTCACACACACATCCTCCATAGGCGATAACGCCAGGCATGTCTGCGTGGCAACTCCCAACACGGCTAAGGACATATACATATAGACATAGAACACTGCGAGCACCATACCCGTTCTAAACTGAGGCGCACGGAGGGATCCGTGACGCGCACGTCCCCGACCTTTCTGTGGTACAATCTTGCGGGTACTTCCACGGACTTCTCTGTGAGTCGACATGGCAATGGGATGCGATTTCAGGTATTACACGTGTGTCCCTCAAGGGCAACAAGGA